GACATTTGCAGTTTAAGTCGACCTTGTGGTCTATGGTCTAGATATACTGTTGTAGGTGCATATGTGCATTGGCATATGTGTATTTAAGGAAAAAAAGATTCTAGTTTGTTAGGCAAACTTGGCCTCGCTCAAAACCAGGCGCAGTTGAGATACCCGGTGGCATTCTGTAAAAGATATTTTACATACAAATACAACATCAGAAATTTGGGTTATGTTTTAAAGAGCCATTAGCAACAGGATTGAAAACATCCCTAGAGAACTTACACGAAAGCACAATATTATATATCTAAGTGATTGAAATGCTCTGCTTCACATTACTGGGTGGAAATACAATAATGTCAGCTCACATTGTGATACCCTCCTTCATACTGTATAACTAGCTCAGACCAAAGTCAAGCAGCAACCTCCAGGGATAAAAACTGAAACCGATGTGGGAAAGTGCCAAAAACACCAGTTCATCAAACGGCCACTTGGCAATATATTGCATACAGCTTCTTGCACTGGCACAAAATATGGCTGTTTTTATAAAAGCGTGCAGGCACTGTTAACAGATTCCACTGTTAATGTTACTCACTAGTCGCTCCTGGAGGTAGTGCTGATAATACTGAGTCCTCGTAGTATTGTACCTTGAGTTAGTCTACGATTGTAGCCACTAAACATGGGTGTCTCTCCCTGTGAGACACATCCATACTGTCTATAGCTGTGTCTTTCTCTTTTAGCACTCAAATCCAAACATGGCCACTTGTGGCTTCAAAAAACCAAGATGCTTTTTGGCTATAATGCCATCTTAAAGCTTCAAAATGGGACTTCACGAACTCAACATCACAATGCAAATGTCTCCTGGGGAAAGGTTTTATGTTCAGATGGGATAAATATTGAGCTGTTTGGCCACAATGACAAGAGGTGTGTTGCAGGAGTAAAGGTGTACCAACTGTCAAGCATGGTGGTGGTAGCATTATGCTCGACAGTTAGTACACTATTGTTAGGTTTGAAAGCCTAGCATTATGCTCTTGTTAATGAAGAAGGAGGACTACCTCCAAATTCTTTAACTTCATTTTAAATCAACTGATAAAGTGTTGAAAGTTACTCAGAGAGTTGCGTTCCAACAGGACAATGATCCAAACACTGGTTTTGGAATGGATAACACATGCTAGCAATTAGCTTCTGTAATGGCCTTCCCAAAGCCCCGACCTCAACCCTATTTAATATTTTGGGACTATGATTAAAAGCCAGGCCTGTGCAAACAAACCAACCAGATTAAATGAACTCTACCAATTCTGCCAAGAAGAATGGTCAGATATCGATCCAGAATTATGCCAGACGCTTGTTGATGCCAAAAGTGCCTGATCAAGGTGAGTGTATATGTATATACTTGTGCCTGTATGTAAACTTGGCAACTTGTGTATATCAGAGAAAACCTGAAACGATTTCAAACTTTTGTACCAAGTTTATGTTTTTGGATATAGAAAATCTGAAAAAAATAACATGTCATGCATGACCATGATGGATGTATCTAAACTTCTAATTACAACTGTATACATTTACCATCTCCTACCAGAATACTCACATTGTGTATTTATTTCTTATATGTATTTCTTTAGTGTAAAGTGATCTATTTTTTTGGATCTATTTCTTTTCTGATAGTTTTATTTTTATAGAGCTATGTTTTTTTTTTATGTTTTGGGGACATGGTAATTTCCCAATTTTGGGGATAAAGTATTTCCTCATCATATTCTTCTGGAATTTTATTGTTGTTCCCTTTTTTCCATTTTTTTCCGTCAGAAAAAAACCTGTTTTTTCCAAGTGGCAGCAACGTATGCAACTGGAGTTTGTGGCATTTTGCTAAATCATATTTTGAGGAACAGTACTGTTGACATAACTCACCTCAGTTCTTTTTTTCATTACCATACTGTAGCCTTTTCTAACTGAAATCTGTCTATTGACACATACTGTAAATCTGATGTTGTGCTCTTCTATGACAAACTGGTACTCAAGCTCAATCAAATTAACAGTACTTTGTTTTTGACCTTTGGCTCTTGTACGGATCAGCTTTCACATGAAATCAATCAGCCCCAAAAGCTAACACAATGCTCGAACACAAAGCAGAACTTAATGTCTTGGAAAACAAAACCATCTATCTGGATGATGCTGACTGTTGTAGTTTGTCAAGTGCTGAACCTCATATAAGCCCTCTGGCTAACTTCACACAGTCTGCTGCTCTGACCTGCATTCAGTTTCCTCTATGGAACAAAAAACACTTGAAATATTATTTTTTTTTAAATACTCCTACTTATCTCCCTGTTTTTGGATGTTCCTCTCTGCACATTCTTATTTATACTCGAGTGCTTAATGTAGTATCAGATGGGGCTGGGTAGAGGAATGTGATGACACTGTTTTGTAGACACAGACGCAAAAAAGCAAGCTTAGTTGCGACAGAGACTTTTCGCCACAATTTCCCGCTCAGCAGCCTGCTCATGCTAATGTGCGAAGAGAGATTTTAAATATTGTGTAATTCAGACATTCAGTAAATGCTTTAATAATCTACAATAGTGCATCTGCTAAAATAAAAATCAAAGGGAATGAGTTAAACATGGTAAGAACAAACAAAATGAACTCTAACGCTGCTGCTCTGCTGACTATGAAAACAATGCAAAAGCTCGTATGCCTCTTCTAGAGGACTTAACCAAAAACAAATCAATGAGAGGTAATGCACTTTCCCAGACAGACTCCAGGACGCTGATGGCATCGCTGGCTCTAAACTCACTCCACTCTGACTCTACAGGAAGCTCCTGTGCTCTAAAGCCTGCTGCTGAGCCTGTGCAAATGTCATTTACTGTCAGGGCAATAAAGTCACTCAGAGCAGTCCTACTGAAAGGAGGCTCTGTTTGATTATTTCCTGTATGTGAGCTGTGAAAACAAACGGCTGGCGGAAGGAAAATTGCCCGACAGGTGATCTAAAGCACAAGGGTACGACAAGTGACTATAAAGTTGGACACTTTTATCAAAGGAATCTTTAAAGGTTCTTTTTTTGGGAGCATTTCTCCTGATAAAATTTGCACGTTTACAGTATTGAGACCTTGCAGACACCAGGCGCGATGCTAAATGCAATGTTTTCATCGCATCTGATGTTGACTAGTTGTAGGATACAGTGTGCAAGAACTCAGTGTTTAATGAGCTTCTGCACGCTCGTGTTTATGTTGATCCAGAAGTTCTGCAAGTCTTAAACCCTACTTCAGGGCCGCAGCTGCTTGTCTAAACGGGGGCCCCTGGAGAATTGCATCACCATCATTCCTCTGCACTCTGGAAGAAACTGGCAAGTCTGGAGCTAAAAGAATGTCCTCTCTACTGAAGGAAAACAAGAGTCCTGCTCTGGCATCAGGTGACACAGCACATCGTTTTAAGTTCATCTATTGATTTTTGTATTTTCTGCATGTCTTTCCTGTTCACAGTCTAGTTTCAGCTGAAAAACCCAATAAACTGCCACTCCAGGAAGCACTGTGACAAACCGCAGCTGAGAGAGACAGACGCCCGCTCGCTCCTCAAACTTCCTCCCTGCCCCTTTCTCTGTGCACGAAGTTAAAAGAAAATCAAGGAGAGACTCGAGCTGCGTTCAAAGTGTGGTGGACGGCAGAGCTGCATGCTTACTGATGAGTCAGGCCACCCCGCGCAGTGAGAGGATGACAGCCCGGTGGACATCAGTTAAGTAGAATAAAAAAGTTCGGCCTGGCTGCTGCATATACACCCGCCTATCACCTCGTACGCACACAAGCCACACGCAATCATCCCGAATCTTACCGAAGTGGATCCAGAGGACGATGCTATGTACACTTTGATCACCATCTTATCTCCCTGATGCTGTTGTCACAAAAGTCCGGCGGGCTGAGCTGGTCGGCTGCTTGCTCTGCTGCTCGCAGACACTGTGCAGGTGGGCGGCTGAGCAGCGAGACACAAAGGAGAAAAAACTACAGCAACAAACTTCCGAGGCTGAAATAACGTACCAGTCTCTGGTAGACAGCGCAGACGATCTGCGCAAATGCTCCGGTCCTCAGCACTGGATGGAGCTTTGCATTCCTCCCCCGCCTCCACTCTGCCTCCCCGCCCCTTCTAGCCTCTCTCTCTCTCTCCGTTTGTGTGTGTGTGTGTGTGGAGCTGAAAAGCACACACTCTCAGACTGGTACACGCACAGAGAGGTGGCCTGTCAAGATGGCAACGGGGTTATACTGCCTGAATATTTCAGCATCGACCTCCCCCTCCACAGCATCACCACCACCCCTCCTCACCCCTTTGTCTGTAAGCCAGACACTGGCTATTGTTCGGCGCACAATGCACGTGTGCACGGTTACAGGTGTCCCGGCACTACGTGTGAACGAGGAGGCAGGTTAATGTGATAGAAAATAAAAATCTGATTTGATTTTTTTTTTTTGGAGTGTGTGTGTGACAGCACAGCCTGTGGAAGCGCCGTCTTCAGAGCAGGCGCTTTATTATTAGCCGGGCTTCGTGGGCCCCCTGCAGGCGTCTGGAGAAGTCGACGCGAGGCCTTTTTTCCCCCTGAAACGAATTTAAGGAAAGCCGACTGACAAAAAAAGTGTCGGAGAGGAGGAGGGGGAGGAGTGGGCGCCATATTGGACTGAAACTCGAAGTGAATCTATGGTTAAATCTCCCCCGCTGACTTCTGCAGAGGCGAGCCTGTGCTTTAATAAGAGCCAGCGAGGATGCCTGGCTCGCACTGGGGGCATGTTGCCTACCGCCGGGGCCTGTATGAACCATGCATGCGGCTCCCTCTCTCTCTCTCACACACACACTAACACGGCTCACTCGTGTGAAGGCAAACATGTCCTCGAACGCGAGCCTTTTCCCCCTTCTTTGCAGGCTTCCTCCCATCTCCCTCTGCAAGAACAAGCCATTCGCGGCAGACCCCTCAACATCACCGGCTCCAAAATTCCAAGTGTTCTGCAGCCCCGAATGGCGTCACCCGATTGGCCGAGGGCCTATCAATCATGCCTTTAGCCGCACCCCTCCCCCCATTCAACCACTCGCCTCTCTGTTCCAGTGTGTTTACTACACTGCCGAGCATAAGGGAGACACTCGTCTTCACATGCACTGATCCCACAGAGAAAAAAAACAGTTTTTAGTTGTATTTGTAAGGAAACCCTCCAAGAAATCAACATGCCCAAGAGAAAGGTACGTATTACGAAAATAGCAAAAATACTTTGAGGCGGATAGCAGCCATTAATGCAATGAAAACGATTGTGAAGACATCCCTCTGAGACATTACTTAATTATAACGCAACGGATAGCGGTTATTTTTCGCTGGTAATTTTTTGCCTGTTTTCTAGATATAATCTGCATTTTTTTTGTGTTAGAGCGAATATTTTCCTGCTCGGACACGGCCTTTAAAACGCCTTTTTCGTGTGCGAGCCGCTGTCCTTTGGGGAGTCAGAAGTCTCTCTCGGTCTCCATGCAGTTAAAGCACAAGCAGCAGCCATGCTTTGCAGCTCTTGTCCACCTTCGTCGCCCGACCTACCGAGAACAAACGCTTCGCTTATCGCCGTTCGGGCTCCAAACCGGCCCGAAGTGGCGCCAGAAAATGCCTTAGTGGCTTTACTTTGCATTTTGACCGCGAAAACAAACATTCGCCGTCGCGTTTCGATAAAATTATATATTTTCTCTCTTTGTTCGCGGTCCCAAATGGCTGCGATGGCGTTTCCCTGCCGCCAGGTGGCGCCTGTGAGCCCGCTAAACCTGGTCCCTCCCCCTTCTCAGAGACTCCCGCGCCAGCTTTCAAATCTCAGCTCCATGCACTGAATGAGAGAAAGAGATGGGGGGGCGTGGAAGGGGAAAGCAAGGCCTGGACCCTCGAAATATGGCCTCAGAGACCCGCATGACTCTGCTCTCACAGCCTCCGTCGGAATCCAGGCGTGGAGCCGGCATTTCTGGCCTGTAAATCGCTTAAACCCACCTGTATTTGAAATGAACTTTGCTTTTCACCTGAAACTGAAAAGTTTTTTCAGCACCTCTATGACCAATCCTAATATGTGTCCAGGTCGCACAGCATCTGTTCGCTGTTGATATAAACAGCAGCTAAGCTCTTATTTTTTCCAGTCACTCATTTAAAGCTGTTGTGTTGTGTTTTTCAGGCACACGGAGCAGAGGCAGGAGAAAAGGAGGAGGTAAGCAAGGAAACGGCGAGCTGCACCTCTCGCACGCCATTTAAATTCAGATTTTAATCGGCACGTGAAAGATTAAAAGGGAAAATAACATTTTTAGATTAAATACCTGTGTGTCTGTGCTTCCTGCTTGTCAAAATAAAAGCCTCGCATTAACAACAACCTCTTGTCATGTTTCAGCCCCAGAGGAGATCAGCTCGGTTATCGGCGGTAAGATGGCACACACTTTTCCACGCTCACCGACATCACCTGATGAGAATGGACACGTAAAAAACCCAAACAAAGCAGAGCGGCTAAAAGTGTAGCACATGCAGATATGTAAATTGAGTGTGCATAGGGGCGCATAGGAGCAAGAACTGCGTTTTCCAGCAAAGCAAAACTTTTCAACAAGTTGTTTTTGCATAACAAAACATAGCAGTGACTTGAGAACAGTTATATAGTGCATTAAAATTACTACAAATGTCTCAGATATACTTTAATTTGCCTAAATTCACAATTAAAGCAAGATTAATGAACATTACAGTGAGTTAAAACAGCCAAAATCAACCTCAAAGATGTGTTCACATGTATCTACATGTAATACTAACTAAAAGCCAATAGCTGGCATAATCGACCCCCAGTATTGACTGTGGGGGGGAGGGGTTTTTCTTAATGAAGCAAATTATTGGCACGCTGTGTCTTTATTGAAAGAAGTTTCTTTTCAGGAACATTTTAGGGGTTTAAAGATGTCTTTCATGCACCAAAGTCCTCATGAACATTCAGAAGTACTGGGGAAAAAACAGGCTCTAAACTATCATAGATACTCCTGTAGTGCTGCTGTATTCAAGCGTAGCAGTTTACTCATCGCTTTCCTCTTCTTTCCCCAGAAACCGGCCCCGCCCAAGCCGGAACCAAAGGTGAAGAAGGCGGCGAAGGTGAGAGGCTAAATGAAGTTGTATTCGAGGGTGGAGGGAGGGCGTTTGTAGATGCTCAGCATGCTCACTGCTTGTGTCTAAACCTGAACAGAAAGAAAAGGCTGTGAACGACAAGAAGGAGGACAAGAAGACCAAGAAGGCGAAGGAGAACGCCGAGGCAGAGGCGAATGAGGAAAACCACTCTGAGAACGGCGAGGCCAAGACCAACGAGGTGTGTGAGCAGGGGGACGCCCCTCCCCTTGGCCTTTTTGGACAACCCTGGTAATTTCACGATTTCACCAAAAACGAACAAAGTTTTAACTTCAGCCTTTCTGCTTCATCCCTTAGGTGGAGGCAGCTCCCGAGGAGGCCAAGGAGGAGGCCAAGTCCGAGTAGCACCACTGCCCAAACTCTCTCCTCCTCCATCTTCTACAGCCCCTTCCCCCCCACTCCACCCAAAAAACTACCCCAGCCAGTCCCACCCCACCCCCCCCTCTAAGTCTCTCTCACATGGTTTCCCTCCAAGGCGTATTGTTAACAGAGGAATATTTTTATCAATGATTTTATAAGTATCCGTACAGATTTTTAGCACAAAAAAGCAAAGCTGATTATGGAGCGCCTTGCAGATTTGCAGTGGTCATATCAAAGTGTCTGCAAGCGAAATGAACACACTAAAATCTTTTTTAAATGGCATTTCATGATTGTTGAAGGCTTGTTTTTGGTGTAGAAAGCGTGTCCCTGCCGGATTGGCCATGTTGTGAGTTGTGTATTACTGTGGGTTTTTTTGTTTGTTTGTTTCACTTCTAACTCCACAAAAATCAGACCTTTTCTTCCTCACCTCCTCCCCTTTCTCCCCCCTTTTATCCACGTTTTTACTACAACGGTTCAGACATGTCGGTGTGGGCGATTCCTTTTAGACCTCTATAAACGTGCAGTGAGTCCCCTCCTCATTTTTTTTTTTTTCTCTGCTTCTGTCTCATGGTGTTTTTTTTTTTTTTCTTTCATTGAAATTGTGTTTTGACGAAGAAGAAGAAAAAAAAGATACAAAACGAAAAACTACTAGCGTGTTGTCCATAAGAAAGAGGAAGACGAACATGTGAAACATTCCGGAGAACGGCGACTGCCTCCGATCCGTCTCCTTAGACGACCCTGCGTGTATAAAAGAAAAGAGGAAAAAAAATTCTAAAAAAAACAACAAAACAAAACAGCTCCCGCTCCATCCACGCTGTCACGCCAGCTTTTCTAAACACTGTTTTTTGTTTTAGTTTTTTCTGGTTTGGTTCGGTTTTTTTTGGTTTTTTAACAGCGATTGAATTTGGAATCCTTCTGTGACAAAAAAAAGGAAAAAAAAAAAAGAAAAAAAAATATATGCAGGTGTCCGGTCCCTCTCTTATGTTCTGAAATTCTCTTAATAAAAAGAAGTCCTGGGAATTTTCCTCGAATTGGAGTGTCCAGTTTGCTTTCTTTGACGACAGTGGGATAAATAAAGGGAAATGAATGGGGGAAAATGGGTTGTGAGTCAAAACTCAAGCGTTTCGTAGGTAAAAGCAACCATGTGTTGTCTTTGAATTGAAATATAAAGCCTGCTTGCGTCTTTAAAGCATGCGATTTCCACTACTAACTGTGCTTAAGAGCCTCCTGGGATCTATCTGTACGCATAATCAAAAATGACTGCATTCATTTTTCTTTTTTAAACAAGAACATCCTTGCCACTTAGCAAAATCCAGTATTTCCTTCAAGAGAAGCTGCTGCAGGTTATAGATTCCACATTTCATCCGTCCTCCTTTCTCTGATTACACACTCAAGTCCACTTCATCCTCCAAACTTACTCGAGGCATGTTTGGTACAGCCCAGACTGCAAATATCTGTTGCAAAAGACTCTTTAAGGGAGGTCAGGTCAGCGAAAGGTCAGCCAGACCTTCATTGTTCATCCCACTGATCGATCCTTCTAAAATGCACCAGTGAGAGGACATCATACCCAGTAACTGAGCAAAGCCTTTAATAAAGTAATGCTTCTACATCCTCTCTGGCTCGCAGCCTTTACAAACCCAGAGAAAAAGGGCCTAGATGCAGACAGTTCCTAACTGCCCGCTTCTTCCTTCCCCTTTAGGGCTTAACACGCTCACGTTAAACCCTGGCGCGAGTGCTGTGACCCACATTCACCTCGACCCTGAAAGAAAGAAGAAGTTGCTGCTTTATTTCGTAACCTGCTTTAAAGAGAGCCCCGCATTTAGGTACACGTACAAAGCTTTCATGCATCGGTTCATGGCAAAGGCCTGGCAGGAGAATGGTGAATAAGATGCTTGTAGTCTGCTGAGCAAACACGGTGTGAATGGGCGACTCTGATGTGCACTTGCCTGCAGCACTGGGTGTGTGAGCGTGCACGCTTGCTGCGTTCTGTTGAGCCTCAAAGTCAACCGCTGCTGTGAGTTCAAGTATATGAAGACACATATGCATGTGTGTGTGTTTGTAACAGCATTGTTTTCCAGGCTTGGACTGGGTGCAACAGCCTGCAGCAGCTCCTCTGGTTTAAGCTTCAGCTTTGTGTCTTCATGTGCTTCACTTATCTGTGAATCACTGCACAATATGACGCTCGATTTTAATTTGTATTTATTTATTTTGTTTAGTTTTGGGTTATTTCCCCCCTTCTCTTCCGCTATGCTGTGCAGCAGTCTCAGTCCCTCTGACCTGCATTGTCATGGCCGAGCACTGGGCTCCATTTTGTCGATGTCTTGCTGTGCGTTAAGCGTCGTTGCGCCTCGCCGCCACTAGATGTCAGTCTTGTCTCATATTTCATACCTTAAAAGAAACCAAAACAAAAAACGCTCTTTGCCCACGGCCTCATGTGGAGCTTTGATTAACCTTGATTAACTCATGCATTAAAAGGCGTTATTCTGTTTTTTATTATTAATTTACTATGAGAGATGACTCACACATTTCTTAATAGAGCAAAAAAAAAAAAAAAGCATTTCAAAGGCCTCCTTACCTCCCTTCCCCTTCTTATTCACATCTCGCTTCGTTATGGCTTTTAATCCTCTTGTCATCAGCTGTTGTTTAATGCATTTACTTTTCAATCTAGTGTGACTTGAGCCGGGCCGGATAAAAGCACACGGTCGGGCCCAGGCGATTAATTCGCAGCCTGTGTGTGAGATCCGTCGATAAGTGAGGGAAACTAAAGGAAATACATTATTGATCAGACAGAAAGTTTCAGATCTCAGCCAGGGTGGTCTCTTTTTTATTGCTCACCACCTTCTTTCATCTGTGCACTCCTTGTGATATTCCTCAGCTCTTACACTCTCATTGATCCGTCCATTCACCCTGTCTCCTGTGATCAGCCCTCTGACTCGTTAACGGCTTTGATACCGAGACACACACAAACACGCGCAAACAAACCAAACATGCAGCCCTCTCTTAAGGCAATCGGGCATCAAAGTTCTAATTAGCCCCTACCGATATTGTTTTATCTTCTGCCTGTGTGTGCGTGCTGAGTGCTCTGGCTGAAATTGAATGTCTGCCTGCTTTATCTGTCTCTCGGCCCATCTGCCGGTCTGCCTGCTCATCCTCTTCTGTCTTTTCACTGTCTGGTCTGAGTAATCATAAGGCTGCTTTGCCCCCGCCGTGCATGAACCCCCCTCCACCGCCAGTGTTTACTCTCACTTTGTCCTTACTCCTGGCAGGCTTGTTGACTAAAATAGCCCCCACCCCCATTTTCCCCCTTTTATTTATTTATTTTTAAACATTTGCACAGCCTATTCTGTCATCCCACGCGTTTTCAGCTCCCGTCGTTTACCTCCCCCTGTCCGCATCCCTCTGGCCAGGGACTGTGCATGTTTGCACACATCTACCCCGCGTAGTTCGGTGTGTGTTACATGGAAGGAGATGGAGGGTGGGGTGCTCTCTGAGTAAAAAAGAATGAGGATGACCTTTTGCGAGGAAGTGATTTAAATGATGCCCTGTCGTCAGCAGGAAGAGCACTGTGTGAATGTGGATGAGCAATTGTTGTGGAAAGGACGTCACACTTTTTGCACACGCGTAAAGCTGGGGGACAGTGTGCGCGCGCACACACACACACACACACACACACACACACACACACACACACACACACACACACACACAGGTTCAGGTTCACATTTTCAATGGAAAATGTCTGGCTGTCTTAAACAACTGTTTGTGTTCGACTGTCTTGTTTATCTGTACTCGATGGGGGTGGGATGTTCAGGAGTGAATGGGAAGACGCAGGAGGAGAAAGAGAGGAAGAGGAAACTAACGGGAGGTGAGGAAGAAGAGGGGAAGGGGAGAAGAGAGGAGAGGAAGTGTGCAGGGGAGAAGAGCTGGATGCAGATGGGGATCTATTCTCTCCGTGCACACAGACAAGATGGAAATGAGTGGGCGTCTGTGACGTCAATCAGTGAACACACACACACTCCCCTCCTCTTCCAGTCCCATGCTAATACATGCTTCACTGCAAACAGCAGCAGTCCTACGGATCACAGGCATAAACATCAGCGC